TTCAAAGAACAGATTTAAACAGATTTCCAGGAGATTAAATACTCCATTGAAAGCAGCAGAATGAGTCAATGAGAGGATAGAATTTCAGCTATAAAAGATAGGATCACAATTAGTGACCAGGAAAAGAAAAATTTCTTAAAAATAGTAAGTGACCATGAGAAATCAATTCAGCAGCTGTTAGACTGATTAGAGTCAATGAAGAAACAGGAGAGAGTGCAGGCAACATAAAAAAACTGTTCACAGAATTCATGGCAGAAAACTTCCCAAAGTGCGGAAAAGAACTTGACATAGAGATAAGTGAGGCATATAAGACTACAACTAGCTGTGATCAAAAAAAAAATCTACACATTGTCACATAATAGTTAAAATTTCAGAAACCCAACAGAAGAACAAAATTCTACAAGCAATTAGAGAAAAGAAACAAATCACATACAAAGGAAAGCCATTAGAAAGGATGGAAAGCCCAACAGAAAGGAAAGTGCATCACAGCAGACTTCTCAACACAAACCCACAAAGCAAGAAGAGTGTGAAGTGATGTATTTCAAGCCCTAAAAGAAAATAACCTCCAACCCAGATCAATGTACCCTGCAAAACTATCTTTCAAAATTGATGGAGAAATAAGATACTTTCATGACAAAGAGCACCTTATGAACTTCATGAATGCCAAACTAGAACTCCAAAAATTTTTAAACATTATCCTAGAAAAAGACAACAAAGATCACAACCCCAGGAAGCCCTGCAAAATGAATCCATCAAGCACAATGAGAAATTAAATGCAAAGGGGGAGAATCCAACAAAAAGAAAAAGTCATGACAAAGATAAGTCAATACATATCAGTTATAACCATCAATGTTAATGGTCTCAGTTCACAAATCAAAAGAAAAAAGACTGGCAGAATGGGTCAAGAAGCAAGTTCCAACAATATACTGCATACAAGAAACACACTTAATTTAAAAAGAAACTGATAGATTGAAAGTTAAAGGGTGGAAAACAATGCTCCATTGACAGGAACCTGAAAAAATGCAGGAGAAGCTATGCTCTTTGAGGATTAAGTGGATTTCAAACCAACACTGATTAAGAGAGACAAAGGACACCACATCCTTGTAAAGGGAACAATTCAAGAGGAAGAGATGACAATCCTCAATATATATGTACCAAATATGAATGTCCCCAACTATACAAAAGGAATATTAATGGACATAAAAACCCAAATGAACATTAATACAATTGTAGTGGGGGACCTTAATACCCTACTTTCACAAATAGATCATCTAGACAAAAAAATAAACAACAAAATACTAGAACTCAATCAAACTCTTAAACAAATGAACTTAACAGATGTTTACAGAATGTTTCACCCCACAAAATCAGAGTACACATTCTTTTCAACTGCACATGGATCGGTCTCTAAAATAGATAACATACTCACTCATAGAACATGATTACGTAAGTACAAAGGAATTGAAGTTATCCCCTGTATATTATCAGACCATAGTGAGATGAAATTGGAGATCAATAGCAAAAGAAACTGCAAAAATTTCATACACACATGGAAACTGGACAACACACTTCTGAATAACCAATGGGTCACAGAGGAAATTAAAGAAGAAATCAGACAGTTCCTACAACTAAATGCCAATGCCAATACAGCATATCTGAATCTATGGGACACAATGAAAGCAGTCTTATGAGGGAAATTCATACCAGTGAATACTCACATTAGGAAAACAGAGTGAGCTCAATTACACAAACTGATGCTGAACATCAAGCTTCTAGAAAAAGAAGAGCAGGATAAAACCAAAGTGCTTAGAAGGGAGAAAATTATAAAGATCAGGGCAAACATCAATGCAATGGAGACTAAGAACAATACAAAAGAATCAATGAAGACAAGAGTTGGGTCTTCAAAAGAATAAACAAAATTGACAAACCCTTAGCTAACCTTATCAGAAAAAGGGGGAAAAAAGGCCCAAATCCATGCAATTAGGAATGAAAAGGGTGAAATTACAACGGACTCAGCAGAAATCCAGAGGATCATCAATACCTACTTGGAGAACCTATACAACAAAATGATGGAAAATATAGAAGAAATGGACAGATTCCTAGATACATGTGAATTATCAAAGTTGAATGAAGAGGACCTAAAAATTCTAAATGACCCAGTATTAGTCAATGTATTGAAAATGTAATTCAAAACTTACCAAATAAGAAAAGCCTGGGTCCTGATGGTTTCACTGCTGAGTTCTACAAAACATTTAGAGAGGAACTACTGCCACTACTGTTTAAACTCTTCAGTGAAGTTGAAAGGGAAGCAATATTCCCAAATTCATTCCTGGAAGATAGCATCACCATGATCTTCAAAGCAGAAAAAGACCCCAAAAAAGAGAACTATAGGCCAATCTCACTAATGAACATAGATGTAAAAATCCTTAATAAGATATTGGAAAATAGAAGATCATCAAGAAAATCATACAACCTGACCAAGTGGGATTCATCCCAGGGATGCAGGGATGTTTCAACATATGGAAATCAGTAAATGTAATACACTATATCAATAGAACCAAGGAAAAAAAATTTATGATCATCTCAATAGATGTAGAAAAAGCATATGATAAAATCCAACATGTATTTTTGATAAAAACCCTACAAAATATTGGAATAGATAGACTCTACCTCAATTTCATAAAAGCCATCTATGAAAAACCAACAGCCAATATCATACTACATGGTCAGAAACTGTATTCCGTGGAACTAAAATCAGAAACAAGACAAGGATGTTGACTATCACCACTCCTGTTTAATATAGTTTTGGAAACATTAGCCATAGCAATTAGAAAAGAGAAAGAAATAAAAGGAATAAAGATAGGAAACAAAGAAGTTAGATTATCATTATTTGCAGATGACATGATTTATATAGAAGACCCTAAGAACTCCACCAAAAGTCTTCTAGACTTAATAACCAAATTCAGTAAAGTAGCTGGATACAAGGTCAACACACAAAAATCAA